ATATATCGTATATATAATTCTAGCATATAGATTTTCAAATTCTAAAATTTTTTCTCCACGATTCCCTATTACGAATCAAAAATCTTCAATCATCTACAAGCAAATCAAACAATCAATCTCTGTGTGATTTAGAGCAAAACAAAAAATAATCCTGAAACAATCAATACCAATCTCTAAACCCCCTCAAAACTCTGGACAATCTCTACATTTCTACATTAATTGTATAAGAAAAAAACCCCTTCTACAAAAATCGTATCAATAAAATCTATTTCTACATTTTTTTTGTATAAGAAAAACTCTTCTACAAAAAAGAAAAAAATCTTAAAAATACACCTCTCTCTCCTCAAGACTCCTCTTGGACAATCTTTCTGCAATTTTACCCAATACATATATACAATTAAATATTTAAGCATATACATATATTTGTCTTTTACTCTCTAGTATATAAAAAAAAAATTATATAGACATACATATATATAATAATCATATCTAGCAAAACTTTTTTCTATAAATATATTAAAAAATATATATAGCAAAACAAAGAATACATATAAAATAACCTCTCTTATTCTAAACAAAAAATCTAAATATTTATACTCAAACTAATCACAGTGTGTTTCAATTTACCTTTATTGTAGAATTTATCTTAGCAAAAAAAAAGAACTTAAAAAACCAACAACAACAAATCAAAAAACCAAAAGCAAATATAAACTATTAAAAAAAAAAATAAAAATCAAAACTTAAAATCAAAAAGCAACAATTTGTTCCATATCATCCAACAATTGGCTATAACAATTTTTAAAACATAGTCAAAATCAAATTAAACAAACAGTTCCACATTAGAACACATTTGCATTCCTTGTCTATTATCCTGACCTATTTGATCCTTTGAACAATACCACCAATCTTCGAACAACAACAAACGATCAAACCAAACCTAAAGTCAGCTAAAAGTCAGTCTCAAAAAAAAAAAGTTAAAGAAGAAAAGAGAAAATAAACTTAAAATCCTAATAACAAAGAAATCAGTGATCCTTAAAAAAAACAACAACAGCAGCTTGTATCCTGTTATAAATTCAGAAAACAAAAAAAAGCTAAATCATCATCTTCCAGCTTTTCTACAACAACCTCGCCTGCAAAACGATTATAATGGTAAGAGTTTCACAACCTTGCTTTGTTTATACATTTATTCTATGAGATAGAAATCAAGAGAAATTTTTTAGAAAAATATATATTTTTTTTGAGGAGCAGCAGATAAAATATTGGAACATTTCATATAGAGGGAAGAATTGGATATAAAAAAATTAGAGTTTCTTAAAGAAATTCTCTTAAAAATTGTTATTCATGAAATATTTTCTTAGTTATTATTTTCAAATTGTTAGCAATTTTTATTTGTTAAATATTAACAATATTGAAATCTTTTGGTCGGTGACTTATAGTGAAATTTTGTGTAGATTATTTTGTTTATTAACAACCAAATTCTAAAACAACATTTTCCTGCAAATTTTAGCCCATTTGTTTTTGATATATTTTTAATAAATATTACTTACACACTTTACTTAGCTGGATTGTGGAAGAACTTTCGTTCTTTTGTGCAGTTTTTTTCAGTTTGAAAGATCATATTCGGCAATGTTGTCTTCCACTTGATCTTTCCATCTTATTCGGGCTTCCCCTTCTGCGTGAACCATCAGCTGGTTCGCTTTTATATGCTTTCTGGGCTGGGGCAGCTTCATCCAACATGACCTAGCCGACGTAGTCGCTGCAGCTCAATACGTCTAACAATGTCGATGTCCAAGAATAGCTGGTACAGCTCATGGTTCATTTGACAGCGATATTCACCGTCAACGCAGATCGGCCCATAGATCTTTCGGAGAACTCTCTAACACTACAAGAGCTGCCTCATCTGCTTGTATAAGTACCCATGCTTCAGATCCATATAACAGAACGGGTAGTATCAGCGTCTTGTAAAGTGAGAGTTTGGTCTTGCGGTAGGTGGTCTTGCTTTTGAGTTGCTTACTCAGACCATAGTAGCATCTGTTGGCCATCACTATTCCTCTCCGAATTTCAAAACTTATGTCACTAATTTGGTGAATAATATTTTGTCTATTAACCACTTATTCTCATAATATAGTTTGCTAGAGATTTTGAATCGTTTCTTAAACTTAGATTTTAATACAATGTTAAACTTTCTAACCAACCGTCCTTGTAAACATATATCTATCACTAATATCTACAGCATATAACCTATCATTTACGTAGAGCCTCTCATTTAGGGGTTTGCATGATTCTAATGTTTGTATAACCCTGTATAACAATTGAAGGACCATTTGTCACACAGGGTGTCCACTGATAAAATAAATAAAATAATTGTGTGACACCCCGTTTTAATAGACGGAAAGCTTATTCATGTTTGTTTTCGCATTTACCTAGTTATGCATTTTTCTTAAAATTTTTGACTTATGACGAAATTTAATGATTAACATTGCCCACGTTGGCATCGTGTTAAAGAAAAATTACATGGGTGATACGCCAGGTCTTAGAAGGACCAATTAAATGATTTTTCTAATTTCAATACTTTATATTCTAACGTTTGAAACACCCAGTTTTAAGATTGAAGGACCATTTGCCACACAGGGTGCCACTCACATAAAACATGTATGTATTTGTGTGACTCCCCGTTTTAAGGCAGAAAGACCATTTTAATGATTTGTTATGTTTCTTTAATGAACTTTCATTAGATATTACAATGAAATTAGGTCAATTGACCTGTAAACCAAATATTGATCTCGTTTTCATTCTATGTTTATTAAATTCAGAGCATTTATGTGGCATGTATCATATATTTTTAGTAGAAGGAAACTCATTTTTTTAACTAGTTAAAAATTTCTACATTGTGGCCATGACAATTTTTTATATTTGTTTTTAGATCAATTTTCTATAAATAATAAATGAGGTCGAAGGACCATTTAGTTCTCTAACAATTCAAAATTTAATTATATGTCAATGTATGTGAATCGCGGCAGTACAAATGAAAACAGTACAAACATGATTAAACATTAGGTCGAGGGCCATTTGTTTAATCACAATATCCACATGACTTTATATAGTTGAGGCGGTCGAAATGCAAATTTTTGGTAAGAAATGCCTCCTTATTTTCCGTATAAAAATACCTTCTAAATATTTTTCATTAACTATTAAAATGTTGGATTTTCGAATATATATGTCTTAATTTTATTGAGATCGAAGGACCTTTTGTTAATAAATAATAAAGATTTTTTGAATAAACATTCCTTAATTTTGTCGAGGTTAAATAGGCTCATTTTATATCTAGGCATTTTGACGAAGTATTACTTTTTCGAATGATGTCGAAGGACCATTATTTAACATATAAAATGCAATAAGTTTCGCCTTAAATTTTTGAAATTCTTTGATCTAATCGATACAATTATATTCTCTTGTCTAATGATTGCTGATTTATTTTGTTTTATTGCCATTAAATATTTTTTATTTGCAAAAAACATGATTACACCACGAAGAATTAGTCCAAAATGTACAATTTGTTCATCCCATTGTTCTGGGATGAATGCATCCTCTATTTTTTTTTTATTTGTTTCGAATTCTTTAGAACGCCAGATAGGCTCTGCATGCTGCACATAAATTTGTTTTGCTTGTGAAATATTCAAATAATTGTAATTAATCCTCAATATGACCCCTACAAAATAGGTTATTTTGTTTCACACATAACCTCAAATTTATTGTGTAATTTTACACTTGAATATATTAACCACGGTGGCATACAGCAGACAGACGTCATGAATAATTCAATTTGACAGATTTCGATAATATATTTTCATGCAAATGCAATCCGTGATTCATTTAATTTATTTTAGGGATTTTCAGATTTTTCTTATTGCAATTAATTCCACAGAAGATGAGGCACCAACATATTTTCGATTAAGGGAAAAGATACCAAAAATCCAAATTCTCCTTATAATGAAATGTTCCAATGATTCTGCTATATTGAATATTTGACAATGTTAGGATTTTTTTTTATTTCTATACAAAGTTATAATGTAATTTTAAAAAAGAAAAGTTATTAAGACGTTGTTTAAACTTATGTTAATAACCTTTTCAACTTGTTGGTAGTAAAAGGAAAATAAAAAACTTTCAACTATCATAATTTATATACAAATAAAACTTTAAAGTACTATCATATTATGCTATGACTACTATTATTACTACTACAACTACTTCACTATTTCTTTGCAAATAAAATACAAGAATTCAAATTTCTTTGTATGATGTCCTCTTATTTTATTGCTTATTTCATACTGGCATTAATTTGTTTAAAAAATTAACTTTGAGGTTCTCGAGCTCTTCTCCTCTCGCTCTCACTCTCTATCTGTCATAATAACGTCATATATCTCTCTTTGTAAAGTAATTTCTCACTGGTCTCTTAGCAATTTGAGGGTTTTCTATATTTTTCTGGCACTGCTCCCCTACTTCTACTTCTTTACAACTACTACTACTCCTCTTCTTGTTCTACTGCTATTGATAATTTCTTGTTAAATACTAAACACCAAATATAAATAAAATAAAATTCTTTCACTACAACTACTACCTATTTTTGTATTTAAATTATTAATGGCCACCAAAAAACAAAAATTAAATATTTTCTTTGGAATTTTTCTTCATTAAAAGCACTCTAGGTTAACGTATTTTTTTCAAAACCACCATCACCACTAAGAAACAGAAAATTAAAAAAAACAAAGAGTTGTATATTCTAATTTTTTACTTTCCTTTGTGTTCTGTTTTTCCTGTTGAAATCTTAAATTTCGTTTTCTTTGAGCTATTCGTTTGGTTTTTTTTTCATTGAGGGTTTTCTTTTTGTTTTTGTTATGGTTTTCTTATTCTTCTTCTCTGTCACCTATTTTAACAAAGAAAAACACCAACTAAAAAATAGAAAACTACTACTCTACTAAAAAACCCAATACTAAACAAAAATTAAAAACCACCACAAACAGCAAATGCAGTTGCTACAGGCAGCACCCACAGCCGGACATCCGCATCAGTTGCATCATATGCAGCCACCCAGTTATTCGCCCGGCTATCCAGCTGGAGCTGTTGCCGCAGCAGCTGCGGCCGCCACCATGTTGCAACAACAGCATCAGCAGCAGCAACAACAACAGCATCAACAACATCAGCAGCAGCAACAATATCAATTACAACAACAGCTACACTATGCTCAACAGCAACAACAACAACAAACCCTTGTTGCCCAACAACAGCAGCAGCAGCAACAACAAATGCAAATGTTACAAACCTATATGCAACTGCAAGTAAACAATGCAGCTAGCCCCACCACACCCACAAAGTTTGGTAGCGCCTTGCAACATCAAACCCAACAAGCGCTGCAGCAACAACAGCATCAATTACAGCTGCAACAACCCCAGGCCCCGGCATTCTTTGCCTCTGCCACCGCCGGTACTCCCTTGACCATAATACCCGCCTGCAATGGTTCTTCGGCTGCGGTGGCGGCCGCCATGTTTGCGGCAAATATGGCCGGTTCGAACAACAGCAACTCCACCACAACAACGTCGACAGCAACCACAACTCCATCCAACAACAATAATGTAAATAATAACATTAGTCTATCTGCAACTAGTTCTTCTCCATCAGCAGCAACTGCGGCGACCGGTGCATATTTGGGTGGCGGCGGTACGGCTGTTGGCTCGACCGCAAGTGGCATGGCCGCCGCCGCCATGGCCATTGCCAATGCCACCAATTCCGTGGTCGCTTCCGTGCCAAATCATGGAGGTGCTGGCCTCTTGGGTGGTGCCCCAACCGCCACCACCAACATCGGCCAGTCGGGTGTTCTCCTCAATGGCGCCGACTATTGGTCGGCCAACTATTTTGGAACAGCAACACCTCCAGCAACGGCATTATCTGCGTCAGCGGGCATTGCTGGTTTTGTTGGTATGCGTCCAGGTGCCGGTTTGCTGGGCAGTGCTCCGGGCTGTCCGACAATTGAATTGGCAAATAAAACTTCAAAACTTTTATTGGCCACCTCGCCGTTGCCACTCAATTCCAGCCAGACATCATCCAAGTCATCGTCGTCGTCCTCTTCTACATCAAGTCGCTGCAGTTCTGCTTCTTCTGATTGTTCTATGTCATCGCCATCTTCATTGCATCTATCTTCTCCTAAAAAGGTTTGTGTCTACTTGTACGTCTAGAAGAACTCACAAAACAACTAAAATAATAACCCAAAAAAAAACTACATCAATGTGTGTCGTCTAACATCTGTGTGTGTGTAACTCCTGCATCCCCAAGAACACAAACAACTAACAACAGTAAATTCCAATCAACCTAGTTTCCATTCCAAATTTTTTTCCAAAATTCTTCTTCCTTAACTCCTTCTCCATCCATCATTGTTGTAATATTTGTGTTATTCTTTTTGTTGTCAAAATATATTTTCTTTGTGTGAAATTTTTTGTTGTTGTTGCTTTTTATTATAATACTAAAAAATAATACTTACTTCTCTTCCTGATCTTGAAATATCATCTTCATGTATATATTAGATAGAAGTAGATGTCCTGATAAGGATCGTTCTCTGTGCTTCATGTGTTATGTAGTCCATTTGTAGCTCTCTTGAATGTTCGGCTTATTAACTGTGCTTTTGTGAAATAATATGCTCTTTGTTTTTGTAGTAAATATTTTAAAAATCTAAATTATTTTTATTTGTATTTATAAAAAATTGTGTTAGTAATAAAAATTTAAATAGTTTTTTAATGTTGAAATGAGAAAAATTGCTTAATTGTAAGAAAAATTATTTTTATAACACCCTGTATTAACATCGAAGGACCATTTGGAATGCAGGGTGTTCTTATTTGCCAAGAAATATTTGGTTTTATATCAAAATTGTTTTATTTATATCAAAGAAATAGTTAAGTTATACCTTCGGAATTATTTGAAAATATGTTATCCTAATTACCATGTTTTTAAATGGTCTTTCGGTTCTAACACCGGTTATATCAACAATATTGTATGTTTGAGACACCCTATGTTAAGCTCGAAGGATCATAGAAACAAAGGGTATTTTGATGATGATTCAGTTAAATATTAATGTTGACGAACTTATAATTATAACCGAAAGGATTTTGTCGCATAAAATTATTTATTGTATTGTCAAAAATATAACATTTTTTATGATAAAAAAATCGCCAAAATTCTCCAACACTCTGAAATAAAAATTTCAAGATTAATTAATTTTTAGTCTATGCATTGGTGAAGTTCTAAAAGGCCTTGGCGTGCAATTATAAATATTAAAATAATTTCATTTGAATTCTATATACCTTATCCATGTCGAAGGACCAAATTAACGCTACGAATCTGTAAACAATATTTTTTTGGGCTATTTTAGATGCATTTCCGATTCATATTTTTATTAAGAAATGCAAGGGTCATTTGTTAAATAAATTTAAATTAAGTCATACAAATAACGAGGTCGAAGGACCATTATTTTTATTTCATTAAATAAAAATAATGGTAAACAGAGTAAATTTTGCATTTAACAATTAATGATTCAATTAATTTATGCTATATATATGCGTTATCGAGGTCGAAGGGCAAAACTTAAATAGAGTGAGGTCGAAGGACCATAAAATGCAAAAATGTACACACAATTTTGACGGCGTTTAAGTTGCGTTTCCGATTCAAACTCTTAAAAGATAAGGAAGCAGAATATTCAAAAAATTCTCTGAGGGCATTTTTTTTAATTTGCTCACATTATGGAGTAAAATTACCATAAAAATTACCTTTTTGAAATCGAAGGACCATTATTTGAATAGAATTTAAAATTATCTCAATATTCTTTTCATATTTGTAAAAAAAAATATACGACACGAAGTAGATCTTTCGATTACATCCAATTAATGGTCCTTCGACCCCACTTGTTGGTTAAATTGGCAATCATTAACATGTTAAATGGGGTCGAAGGACCATTAGATACATTTCCATGAGTTTTTGGAGTATGTTTTTAAATATAAACATCAGGAAACCTGTTTAAAATTAATTGAATTGAAGTCGAAGGACCATTTCTTTTAGATAATATAACATCATTTATCAGAAATCTGTTTTTTTTTAATTGATTGATTTATTTATACATTGATTGGGGCCAGTTTACAATATTTTCTCTGCACAATTGATGATTTTGCTCCGAAAAGACGAACTAGGAAATTATCATAGAAAGGGAAAACCCATACAGGCCTAGAAATTGAGTAAATTCCCCTTAATTCAGTCGAATGATAATTTTTTTTTTAATAGTTTAAATTATTTCATTGCATTTGTACATTGGATTGAGGTCGTAGGACCATTCTTCTCAGCTCCATGGCCGATTCTGCTCAGAAAAGAGAAATTATAAATTTCTAAGAAATTGGGGGAAAGACTTCATTATTTTTTTTAGTGTTGGTCCTTCGACCTTGATCTAGAGTAAATGGGTTCTTAATAACAGGTTTTTTTTCTTTCGATATTATTATCAATGAAAAATAAATTATTTGAGGGATTTTTATGCAATATAGGATTCGATTGACGGGCCATTTTGGAAAATTGAGTCGAAGGACCATTTCTTTGCTGGTCCTTCGACTTTGAGTACATGGGTTATTGCGCCCACTTTTTTTTTTAATTGATAGTTTAGTCGCTGTAAGAGCAATGATACTATGGGTGCTTGTGTTTTCTGTAGAAAACGGGTGTACCGGGTGATTATTATGTTAAAATTATGGTTCTTCGACGATTATTATTCGGTAAATGAATAAAAATTAGTTCAAATTTTTTTTCGATTTTATTATCGCTTAGTAATTTTTATGAGATATAGAATACCGATTTAATGGATTATCTTGTTTTGCAATTATAATATGGTTTATATTCCAAAACTGTCCTGGCCTCCAAAATATTGTCAAACTCTCAAGGTGTCAATATAATTACAACTATCACTCTATTACCTACCACCACGACCTGATATATTATTGATAAGAATGATGAAGACCCGCATTCAACACTTGTCTCTCATGATTACATTTATTTTGTATTAAAACAACCAGGTGGACCCTCTCACACTTTTCCCCTTCTCCCCAGTGATACCTTATCAATCCAACAACAACAGCAAAATGCCTGGAAAATATTCAACGCCCTTTACAATACATTTTCCCCAAGTAACAACAATTGCCAGTAAATTGTTTTGCTGCTCTATTTATTTACATACACAAATGAACGTGAGTGCGTTTGGGAGGGATGGAAGGAGCAGGGGTACATGGTGTTAGACCAGCATAATGGTCACATGCACATATGTCCATGTACCCACCATTTACTATATATACAGCAGTCAGTCAAGCTGTCCTTGGTGTAGAATCGGTGGTACCTAGGTGGTTGGCTGAATGACTGGTTGTTTGGCGTTGTTTCCTCTCCATTTGTTGTTGTCTTTTTTATGGGTATTTATTTTATCGGCTTTTGCAATTGTTGTTGTGCATTGATGTCGTTCAATATGTGTTGTTGCTGTTGCTATTTTTTCCTATATTTATTTTATTACAATAATGTTTTTATATACACCTTTTGCGCTCTCTAGCTTTCCCGACTGGCTGGCTTGTTGGTTTGCTCTGCCTCATGGTGCCTGGCATATCGATTAGTGTTAATGTGTTGTTGCATATTTTATAAACAATTACATTTCAATATTTGCTGTGCATTGTGTTGTGCTGTTGGTTTTGTTGTTGCTGTCGTTGTATCCTTTTTTTACCGGGCATTATAGAAAAAATAATTCCATGGCGGATTTTTGTTCTTTTGCCTTGGTGTCCTACGCAAAAGGGCGCTCGTCGTCGATGTCTTCTTTAATAATTTAAAACCTTTGCATTAAGCCTTTTGTTTTTTGTTGTTGTTGATGTCGGCGATTTTTGCTTAGGCGTGAAGCTAAGGTGGGCCCACTTGTCTTCTGGCACTTTGACATTTTTGGCCTAGAGAAGACACTTTGGGTGTGTGCGTGTGTGTGTGGGACAGAACAGCAACAATTTAATAAGCGTAGGCCGATGTCCATGGTCATACTGGGGTTAATAATGGCAAAAGGTGTATTCCCCTCCTGCCATTTAACTTATAATGTGTTAAATGTCAACGAAATAAAGTTATACAAAGTTTTCGAGCGTGGTGTGACAGGAGGCGAAGCAGAAGTAGTCGGATTTGTCGATGTCGATATTGTATTTCATTGGAAAACAATTTGTATAATGAGTTTATTTCCTGGGGATTTGAAAAATGGCATAACTCCATTTGAAAAACTTATCGCACTCTCCCCTCCATTTGAATAACTTGCCAATCTCCCTCCCTCTCTCTCAATTTTTCCTCTCTTCCTTTCACATGGTTGACAATATTCAAATTTTTGTATGAAATTATTGGAATTGTGAATCCCATGTTATTGGTATTATGTCATTGTTGTTGTTGTTCGTCGTTCTTGTTGTTGTTGTTGCTGTTATAGAGTTATTAGCGTTTTATTGTATTAAATATGTTTTATGTTCTCGACTACCCTCCAGGACATCAGCGCATATGGTCGTTTGATTGTTTTTGTAAATTTATGCAATTTTTGTTGTTGTTGCTATTGCCTTAAATAGGATTAAGTGATTTTTGCATATTTACAAAAACACAATTTTATTTCAAAATTATTATTTCTGTACAATTCGTCTAATTGTTTTGTTGTTGTTTTTTTTTTCGTTAATTTTTGTAAAACATATTTTTGTTGTATATATATGTTTGTGTGTATTTTTATATGCAAAAATATATATTTATTACAAATTACAATATAATATGATAATATTCAAATGACAACAATTTTCACAGTGGAGGTCTAAAGTGTGTAAACTTTACAATGAGAAATATTTTTCTAAATAAAAAATTCTGAAAGAAAAGGTGTAAATTATTCGCCTCAAACAAATAGCAGATAGTTATTCTTCTCTATAGAAGGAAGATCTGAGAGATATTTCCTCTGTAGAGGAGCTTGAAGGCAATCTGAAAGTCGTCATCTGCATGGAAGAGCTTAAGATCCTGCTTCTTCTCCATAGAAGAACGGAAGGTCTTCATATGATTTACTAAATTAAAGTTTTTTTTCTCTATAGAAGAGATCTTCCCAATAGAAAGTATTTTTTACATAGAAAAGCTAGAGGTATCCTTTTCTTCTACATTGAAGATTTGAAAGGTGTTCCTC